TTTATTTTGGAAGACTGTAATACGAATCAGTGTAGGTTTAAAGAGGTTTAACAGACTCCGCTGAACTAATAATGTTGATGATCTGTTTTATGAGTCATGGAAAGTAGATATTCAGAAACAAATCTCTGTCCTAATTAGCAAAACCTAATACCTTAATGATAAGAAGAGTCGATACTTTACTTAGAACCTTTTTATGTGGATTCACTGTGGTTGGTTTTCAATAGATTAATTAGTTTGTTACTTTGCAATCTGAATAAATCTTTGACTTCATCTAAGTTTTTTTTTTTTTCTTAAATGTCAGAAGTCAATAATATACAGTCCCCATGTAGCAAAGTCTTCACAATATGGCATTTAGGTATTAGTTGATCCGCAAGTAATTCGCTCTCAACTAAGAGGGCTACAATGTCTGTACTTGCAGAGAGAGATTCTCATCAGTGCTTCCTCCTGGTATCAGATTGTGTGCGTTCACTGAGTCATAAAAAAATCACCAGATTGCCATGTCAAGTGCTATTCCAGTTCAATTTATTAAAAAAAGAAAACTAAAAATGATACATATTTTGACTTGTACAGACCAAAAATCTTTTACACAGTTACATAGTTACACAGCTGAAAAGAGACATGTGTCCACCAGGTTCAGTCTTTTACACATTTGTTTTTGATGTTGTTCCAAAAGAAGGCAAAAAGCCCAGTCTGAAGTGCTTCCAATTGTGCAACAAACTTGGAAAACAAATTCCTTCTTGACCCCAGAATGGCAGTGAGATCTCTCCATGGATCATGAAGCTATTTCCCCACTAATTAAAAATGATATCTCTGTTTGTTATGTTTTTTCAAGTAATTATCCAATTTCTATTTAAACATCTGTATAGACTCTGATAAAACCACTTTTTCAGGCAGAGAATTCCACATTCTTATTGATCTTACCGTAAAAAACCCTTGACAGGTGCATCGTCGCCATATGGGAAGGTGGAATAAAAACCCTCCGCATACCTAACCCAATAAGACACTAAGGTATATGGGTCAAATATGTCCACAGCTTTGATTAATTTTATATATATATATATACACACATACCAAGAGTTGTGGTGGGGAAAAAAGTGTGGATGAAAACCCTTACTTTGCTGCAGAGGGATTTAGATAGATTGGGGGACTGGGCACTCAAATGGCAGATTCAATTTAATGTAAAAAAAATGTAAAGTTATGCACTTTTGCATACACCTACCCAGAATCCCTTGCAATAGTAAGAGCACTGTTAAAGTGAGATTTCTGTGGGAAAAAACAAGTATTATGGCTTGACTGGTGTGTGTATTTGTGTTTAGCAATGTATATAAAACTTTATAAATTGATTGAAAAAAGTCATTGACCCCAACCCCGTCATATCACGTCTGTATTCCCCACAGCTATAAATGGTTAATGACCCATATTGGAATAAGCATTAACATATAACAATATTTACCAACATGAACAGAACATTAAAGTGCCAATGTTTTAATTAACCATGGTAGGGGTATATCCCTACCCCCACCAGGTTCTGAGCCACTGCCTAGCTTGAAACGCACCAAACTTCCCAAGAGCCATATTAACCTTTTTTAAATTTGCATAAAGAAGAGCCTATTTTCCTAGCCTTCATCACACTATGGCAAATGATTTAGGTAAACTAGAAAAATGGTCAGAGTTGTGGCAACTGACATTTAATGTGGATAAGTGCAAGATAGTGCATCTTGGACGTGAAAACCCAAGGGCAGAGTACAGAATATTTGAGAGAGTCCTAACCTCAACATATGAGGAAAGGGATTTAGGCGTGATTATTTCTGATGACTTAAAGGTAGGCAGACAATGTAATAGAGCAGCAGGAAATGCTAGCAGAATGCTTGGTTGGATAGGGAGAGGTATTAGCAGTAGAAAGAGGGAAGTGCTCGTGCCATTGTACAGAACACTGGTGAGACCTCAATTGGAGTATTGTATGCAGTACTGGTGACCGTATCTCCAGAAGGATATTGATACTTTAGACAGAGTTCAGAGATGGGCACATTCTATAAACTGGTTCATGGATTGCAGGATAAAACTTACAAGGAAAGGTTAAAGGAACTTAACATGTATAGCTTGGAGGAAAGATGAGACAGGGGAGAAATGATAGAAACATTTAAATACATAATGGGAATCAACACAGTAAAGGAGAAGACTATATTTAAAAGAAGAAAAACTACCACACCAAGAGGACATAGTCTTAAATTAGAGGGGCAAAGGTTTAAAAATAATATCAGGAAGTATTACTTTACTGAGAGGGTAGTGGATGCATGGAATAGCCTTCCAGCTGAAGTGCTAGAAGTTAACACAGTAAAGGAGTTTAAGCATGCGTGGGATATGCATAAGGCTATCCTAACTATAAGATAAGGCCAGGGACTAATGAAAGTATTTAGAAAATTGGGCAGACTAGATGGGCCGAATGGTTCTTATCTCTTCATAACTAAAATGCTCCATTCGTTTTTTTCCGCCTTTTTCTAGTGCTATAATATCCTTCTTTGGAACAGGTGCCTAAAATTGCACAGCATATTCAAGGTGTGGTCTTACCAGTGATTTATAAAGAGACAAAATTATAGTTTCATCCCAAAAAATGATGGCCCTATTTATATATGACAATGCCTTGCTGGCCTAGCAACTGCCGATTGACATTGCATATTGTTGCCTACTTTTTTTTGTCTATTACAATTCCCAAATCTGTTATCTCCAATTCACTACCATTTAGGCTATAAGTTGCTTGTGCATTCATTACCCCAAAGTGCATAACTTTAAATTTTTTCTACATTAAATTTAATCTGCCATTTGAGTACCCAGTCCCCCAATCTATCTAAATCCCTCTGCAGCAAAGCAAAATCCTGCTCACATTGTATTCTTTTTTTTCATCTGAAAACACTAAAACACTAAAACATGGCTTTCATTGCCTATTTCAAGATCATTTATAAATATGTTAAATAGAAGTGATCAGATCACAGATCAGAACCCTTAGGGAAACCACTTACCCCTTTTGTCCAGTTTGGAAATTTACCATTAATGACAACTCTCTGTATTCTATCTTTAAGCCAATGTTCTACCCGAGAACACTAACCTATTGTGAGGAACCGTATCAAACGCTTTGACAAAATCTAAGTAGATCACATGAACTGCAACACCTTGATCTCTACTTCTACTTTTTTTGAAGAATGCAATTAGGTTTGTTTTACATGACCTATGTTTCATAAAACCCTGCAAATTATTGCTAATAAAACTGCTTCTCCCAATAAATTATATATTATCCATTAATAACCCTTCAAATACTTTCCCAGCCACAGATGTTAATCTCACAGCTCTATAATTTTCAGACAAGATTTTGAACACTTTTTGATTATAGGAACCACACCTACCTTCCTCCAATCCTTCAATTCCTGAAAGAAAAGAATCTTGAAAGATTTAATACAGAGGTCCACTTATTTCCCCACTTAGCTCCTTAAGTACTCGTGGGTGAATCCTGTCAGGCTCTAAACTTTATTTACATTAACTTTCTTAACCTACATTTTTCAATTTTAGTTTCTTTTAGAATTTATGTACTTACAATAAAATCTGATGGGATCGGTTTTGCTTTCTTTGGCTATCATGTTCTAATTTTCTAGCTTAGCCATTCTAATTGCCTTTTGGCATGCATTATTGGTTTCCTTATATCTTATATGATACCTCTAATTTGTCTGATTTAAATGCTTTAAATGCCCCTTCTTTATTTTTAATCTCTTTCCCACCAAGTCATATTGGTTTTAATGTTTTTCTTTTAGATTTATTACCCAATGGCACATACTGAGAAATGTACGTTTCTAATATTGTTTTTTATTCAATTTATCCTCATAGTTTTTTGTACTAAAGAGTTTATGCCAGTCAATATGTTGTAAATATGCCCTTATCTAACTGTGATTGGCCTTTTTAAAACTATTTGTTTTAAACCCTATGTGCGTTTGCTTTTTTGTGTTTATTTCAAAAGACACTGTATTGTGATCACTATTTCCCAAGTGCTCCCTTACTTGACTGTTGGTCAAAAGTGCAACATTGTTTGTTATAACGAGATCCAGACAAGCATCCTTTCTAGTTGGTGCTTGTACCAGTTGTGACATGAAGGTGTCATTTAACACATTCAAAAACCTGATTCCCCTTGCTGAACTACTAGTCCCCCTATCCTAATTTATGTCCAGATAATTAAAATCTCCAACAATTAACATGTTACCTAGATCTGCAGCTTTCCCAATTTGCTCTAAAAGCTGTTCTTCCTCATCAATTAACATTAAGTGGTTTGTAACATATCCCAACCAATAATTGATTTCCTTTCTTTAGCCCCAGGCACATATCTACCCATAAAGCTTTCACACGGTCCTCATCACATTCCACCTTGTTTAAGATTTGGCTTTAACTCATGGTTGACATACAAACATACGCCACCACCTTTCCTGTTTTTTTTTTCTCTTTCCTGAATAAGTTAATTGCCCATTCATGTGTCTTGTCCCACTATGTTTCTGTTATGCCTATCATGTCATATTGCTTAGTGTATGCTATTGCCTCTAGTTCACCATTAAAGGACCACTACAGTGCCAGGAAAACATACTCGTTTTCCTGTCTCTAAAGGGTCTTTGGGTCCCCCTCACCCTCTGGGCCCCCCTCCTGCCTGGCTCTAGGGGTAGGAAGGGGTTAAATTCCTACCTTTTTCCAGCGCCGGGCCCCCTCGGCACTGGGGACTCTCCTCCCTCTTCTGACGTCATCTGCTGAATGGGCATGCGCGGCAAGAGCCGTGCGCGCATTCAGCCAGTCTCATAGGAAAGCATTCTCAAAATCACAGTGAGAAGCGCAGAAGCGCCTCTAGCGGCTGTCAATGAGACAGCCACTAGAGGCTGGATTAACCCATTTGTAAACATAGCGGTTTCTCTGAAACTGCTATGTTTACAGCAGAAAGGGTTAATCCTAGAGGGACTTGGCACCCAGACCACTTCATTAAAGGACCACTATAGTGCCAGGAAAACATACTCGTTTTCCTGGCACTATAGTGCCCTGAGGGTGCCCCCACCCTCAGGGACCCCCTCCCGCCCGGCTCTGGAAGGGGGAAAGGGGTAAAAACTTACCTTTTTCCAGCGCTGGGCGGAGAGCTCTCCTCCTCCGTTCCTCCTCCTGGGCTGAATGCGCACGCGCGGCAAGAGCTGCGCGCGCATTCAGCCGGTCGCATAGGAAAGCATTTACAATGCTTTCCTATGGACGCTTGCATGCTCTCACTGTGAAAATCACAGTGAGAAACACGCAAGCGCCTCTAGTGGCTGTCAATGAGACACCCACTAGAGGATTAGAGGGAAGGCTTAACCCATTAATAAACATAGCCGTTTCTCTGAAACTGCTATGTTTATAAAAAAAAATGGGTTAACCCTAGCTGGACCTGGCACCCAGACCACTTCATTAAGCTGAAGTGGTCTGGGTGCCTAGAGTGGTCCTTTAAGCTGAAGTGGTCTGGGTGCCTGTAGTGGTCCTTTAACTATTGCTACACAGATTATTGTCACTAACAACATCTGCACTGATAATAGTGAAAGTGATAATAGTGAAAGTTTTTTGGGAGGTTTTAATGCAGAAATTCCAAGTACCTCTGTATCTTCAACCCTATACTTGTTAATTTCTTATTCTGAAAATCACAGTATCATATGTTGCTAAGCCCATTTCTTTTTTTCTCTCTGGTTTAGTCTGCTCATGCAATAGGATCCAAATGCCATCCATGTATCCAGAACTATCAATTTCATTATAAAACAGTGTATCAGTTTCATTATATAACACAATTTAAGTGTTTATTTTAGTAATCCTTAATTGCACATAACAGTTGTTCATGTTCATATTTCATCTTAGTACCATATGCTTTTATTCTCAATTTTGTTGTTTACCATTACAATATTGCTTTCTAATTACAAAGTTACATCGTAATCTAGTTTGAATAAATATTCCAGTCCATCAAGTTCAATTTTGAAAGAACATCTTTTTAACCTGTTGATCCAAAAAAAGCACACAAAAAACCCCAATTTGAAACAATGGACATTTATCCCACAAAAAGGAAAATAAAAGTCCTTATTGACTCCATAATGTATGGGGTGTATCAACAACCCACATACATGTTAATTATAGCCTTGAATAACTAGTATTTCCAAAAAATATCCAGGTCTTTTTTTTTCAAGTATTTACAGAATTTGATAGGACAACCTTTATAGTTCTTAATGTAAAAACCCTCTCTGCAACACTGTGGAGTAACCTGGATCATCCTATTACCCCAGTGAGGCAGCCAACAAGAACATTAGCCCAAATGATATGCCGTAAAGTAGTTCCGATGACCCTCGCATCGACTCAGACACTCGGGAAGGTGCAAGATATTGCTCCCGCTTATGCAGGCCTGAGGGCATACTGCACTCGGTAGGAGCCTGTGAGAGATGACATGTGCGCCTCCGCCATCACCAGCTGCACCTTGGGCCTGTAGCCACCTTCCACCGCCGGGAGAGCTCTGTCCCAAGGGACGTAGGGTGGAGAGATCGGTCTCCTCTCTTACTTCCCTACACTCGTGTAGGCCACAATGCTCACTCTCACTTGTGCTGCCGAGAATGCTCTGGGCAGGTTGCAAAAATCATGCTGGTGTGACTAGGCACATTTCTGAAGATCTCCCTATAACAGCTTGTCTGGATTTAGAGAGTATTTTGCTTTAAAAAAAGTGTTTATAGGGACTGAAATATATTTCTTATCTGTCTTACCGTTTATTCATAAAGAGACAAAATTATATTTTATTTACATGAATCAATACCCATTTTATAAATGACAGTATCTTACTAGTCTTTACGGTAGCAGATCAGCATTGCCCAGTTTGTTATCCATAGTAGCCTGCCAGCCTCCCCTGTATATATATATATATATATATATTTGTGTACGGCACATTTCGAGGACGTAAGGAACAATAATAAAGAAGCAATAGTAGTAAGAGCAAAGTCAGTTGAGGTGTGCCAAAACTGATGTGAGGTTAGACCTGTAAAAGAGGGCCCACCTAGGTGAGATGAGAATAAATAGAGGGTACGGTGGGAGGGTCACTTCCGAGATAGTCTCCGACAGGTAAGCAGGGGCTCATTGGGTTTAAGTAGGGTTCCATGTACCTCCCACAATTACAGGCCAAGCCTTCTATTTGTGTACGGCACATTTCGAGGACGTAAGGAACAATAATAAAGAAGCAATAGTAGTAAGAGCAAAGTCAGTTGAGGTGTGCCAAAACTGATGTGAGGTTAGACCTGTAAAAGAGGGCCCACCTAGGTGAGATGAGAATAAATAGAGGGTACGGTGGGAGGGTCACTTCTGAGATAGTCTCCGACAGGTAAGCAGGGGCTCATTGGGTTTAAGTAGGGTTCCATGTACCTCCCACAATTACAGGCCAAGCCTTCTATTTGTGTACGGCACATTTCGAAGAAGTAAGGAACAATAATAAAGAAGCAATAGTAGTAAGAGCAAAGTCAGTTGAGGTGTGCCGAAACTGACGTGAGGTTAGACCTGTAAAAGAGGGCAAAAATATAAGAAGCGATTCTTACAAGTCAGATACATTTATTCAGCAGATCATTATTTAGACATTTCACAGAAAGACAATCTTATTTCTTTCTCAGGATTGGGGATGTATTTGTTGTATGCGGATGATTTCCCCCAGCCCATATTTTAATGATATGAGTTGGTACGTGATTACCGGAGGCAGCTGTGGCTGCTCCAATGCGGAATAAATGGCCCGAGAAGGAATGAGGGTGATTTCCTAGTTGGAGTGATATCGTACGAATGTAAAGCATTAAATGTTTATTGACTAGGGGTTTCCCTTGAAAAGCCACTAGTGGGGAATCAGGGATGGAAGTTAGTTGAGATTCCAATAGATTATCCAAAACATGGATAGGACCTGATTTAGTAGAATAATATTTCATCTCTACTGGAGGACCAGTATGGCTCGTTTTGGTGTGAGTAATAGACAAATGTGTATGCCTGTGAAGTAAGGTTTGATAGTATAGTAAACTAATTTAGGAGAAAAGTGGCAAAAGTTGTAAATGCGACCATAGTTACAAATAGAAACATTTATCACACAATAAACATGAACAAACCTTTAAACAACTGATACGCTGTTGGAATAGGCTTTCTTAAATTAAGGTATAAACCAGCCTGTGCGAGCGACCTACTATGGAGCAACACAGTATTTAACACATAATTAGGACTGTGAAGCTTGGAGGCTCCTTGGGCTGCGAGTTTGCTGATGGATGACCTCCGAAAAAAAAATCCTGCAAATTAGAGTGTGGGAGAGCGTCAGCTGCGTTATCCTGAATACACGCAACGTGAACATAAATTATGCAGAATTGAAGATTTGCCGCTAGCCAGATAAGACTCCTTACCAAGTTCATAATTGGGAGGGACTGAAACGGCCTTTAGAAAAGCATCTGACCGACTGCCCTCTCCACTCTTTGCCCTGTATATGTGTTGCTGCTACAATTGGGTAGATTCAAATAGTGCTGAGGTGGTATTGAAATTTACTAGCGAGATAGACTCAATTGGCCAAGGTGGGAAAAACGCAGCCATTTGTACCCATTTGTAACCAACATTCGCTGCATAATCTACGGCACCTGATGCATCATTCCGGACCACATGGGAATCGTCAGAAACAGGGGGAACAAATAGTGATCTGCCATTCCAAGAGGACAGGAACAAATGCCACCTTCTTAATATCAGCTGATGCTGGTTTGTCTAAGAGAGCTGTGGAGTCGTCGACCGGGAGACCATGCAAGAGAGAGAGGATTCTGGAAATTAAAGACTTACCTTGTGGAATTATTTCCCCGCAAAATTGAGTGAACCGGGTAGTGACTGTAGCTGATTCCTGGTGCAAGTGTCTTGTGACGTGCAGTTGTTGATGTAAGAAAGAATTCTATCTACTTACACTTGTGGCAGGTTGGCCTGCATAGAAATAGAACTGAGTGTAAACCTCGGAAATGTGATCTCTGTGTTTTGTCCGGGCTACGGGTACTCCTAATCTTTGAACAGAGTGAACATGTGATTCAATCTGTGTGGCGTGTTTTGGTGTGGTTCGATGGTGAGGAAGTTGTCTAAGTAGTGTAAGACTACTGGACATCTGCATATGTTCCGTAAGAGCCAGGTTTAAGGTTTCGGAGAAGATATCGCATAACTTGGGCTACATATGGTGCCAAATGTTGGTCTGGTAACGAAATAGTGGCTGTCTACCCACTTTACTCCACGCAGATGCCAGATTGACTGAAGAATGGGTAGTAATTTACACGTGTTAGTAAAGTCTGATTTACATAACCAGGCAGCCTTCCCGGAATGAATCATTGCTTGTATGGCCTCGTCAATTCTGGCGAACTGAAGGAAAACTTATGACAGGGACAGTGTATATAAGCTAGGAGAAGTGGGTGAGTGAGGTGCAGAAAAATCAAATAGTAAGTCTCTTTAAAATGTAAAATTCCCTGAGGTAATTCCTAGGGGTTTGTCCTCCAGGAGATGAAATGGTAGTGTTGTGAAAGGCCCTATCAAGAAACCATTGGTGATTTCATTAAGTAAGAGTTTTTTTTACTCTGATGGGAACTGTGAGTGCTGACTGTAGGATGGGTGTTCCAAAATACCTATGTGGAGTGACACAAACCCTGTGTAAAACCTGTTAGTAGACGTGACAAATTCTACCAGATATAAAGAAGGATGAGTAGACAGGTAGCGTTGTAGATTAGGACCGCCTGTAGGGGCACATTGTTTTTGGCGCGTGCACTGAAACAAAGTGAGCCCATGTGAAGAAGCCTACCAGCACTATAACTACAACCACCAGCATTTAAATTATTGCAGACTTGTGCTTCACCTAGAAAACTAATTGGCCTGCCTACTTTGTCTTAACAAAATCCCTCTGGGATGTGTTGGACTGATAATCAGCGTTGGCTTACTGGTAGAGGGAATAGCTACGTTTCCAGGATGAAATTTGATCGTATGGGCTGTTGCTGAGCTTATGGCGCAGGAAGGTGTTTTGAGACCTGAAAATGCCTTAGAAACCGTTCCATGTGTAACTGACCCCAGTCGGTGTTTGTATAGTACTCTCTGCGAGCCTGAACTGAGATGGGTGCTGGTAACTGACAGAACGTCTCCTTGTATAGAAGCGTTAGACATGCTAAGGAAGTGCGGCAGATGACTTGGTAAGTAAGGTACCATATAGATCTGCAGTGGCCCAGCTTACTAGAGTAGTGCCTACAGGTGAAGTTGTATTAACTAGCTTATGTTGGTGACAGGTGACACCCTGACTACTTGCCAAGTGGCTTTGAGAGGCTCTACCTATGATTTGGCTCGT